TCTCAAGGCGGTCCCAGACCCCTGCCTTTTTTTCCGCCCCCTAATTTTAGTTTATGAATCCACGCTTGGATATATTTGAGCACATAATACACATTTGTATGAGGTTGTTTTTGCCGCATCCGAACCAGAGTTAAAGTTCAGTCAACTATGCCATCTTATTCCCTATATAAACAATTTATCAATAGCTTTGACAGCTCTTTCCACGGCCCGGTCCTTCTGCAGGTTCGTCTTCACTGATCCTCAAAATGTACACCACTTCATCATCAAGTCTCTTGAATTTGTCTTCTAGTACATATTTGCATTGTATTCCATTAGAAAGATACCATGTAAAAAGGAAAAAAATACAAAAAAGTAAAATTAACGGTTTATAAAAAAAACCATACCCATGATATCATAATAATAAATACTATAATATATTTTGCATGTTACTTGTGGGACATGATGGTCAGGGTCTTGGATCAGAGTTTTGAGGGAACACGGAGGAAAACAAATACGCTAAAAGGCAGAACTTAAACTACATAAACTAATTTTATTCAATAAACAAGTATTAGACATAACGATATTGATATCTTTCTGTATTACAGAGACTACCCCTCTCTCTCTCTCTCTTGCAAAAATAAAGGGGGCTCAATTTCCTGGACCCCCCCCCCCCCCCCCTTAATCCGCATATGACGTGTAGGTGGCAACTTGAACTAATACCCCATTCATACGACGAAAAGAGCCATAGCGCATTTGATAGTCACTTTCGCCTACTCTAGTAGTGATTTTTAAATACATTATTTAACCAATTTTTTTTGTCATACAATGTTAGTTTATACATGCCTTAAAGCAAATCACACAAAAATAATATTCAAATATTGATAGTTCCCTCATATGATAGATATAAAAATCGTTCAGTTTATATGGAGAATATAGTAAATACTGAAGTACCCCCTTAACAATGTGAAACTGTAGCTAAAGACCACCCTTAACCAGAAAAACAACTTCTGAATAATTTTATTTGGATATGACTGCACTTCATTACGCTTAGATAATTTTGGTTAAAGGTGGACTTTATATTGAAAATGTTGAAAATATGATTTTAATTTTTCTTCTAAAATTATTTCAAAATTCAACAATTTGTCTTAATTTTATCCAATTGATTGCCAAGACTTCGTGGCATAGTGGTATGATTGCTGGATTGAAGATGTAATGATCGTGAGTTCCAGTCTCACTCCGCGTGTATTACGATTTTATTTTTTTCTCGTGTGCATTTTCCTAATCTTTTATTATTTTATAATACATGTATAAATAATTTTTAAAAGAGATATATAATGCAGCATTACACATTGAAAGTTTATCTTGGAGAAAAACGGTCTTAATTTAATGATCCAAAATCATAGCTGCTAGCCTGTTTTATTTTTAAAATTTTCAAACAATCTTGTTTAGAATAAAAGTATTGGACAATTAAAATTACTGTCATGCAACAAACTTGCAACTATGAAAATATAACACTGGTTCACAAATGTTTACATACATGTGGATTGATTTTGATTTGAAAAGGTACATGTATCTATAAATAGAAACAAGTGATTTCCTTTTAAATACTTGTGTAGGCCGAGTCGTCGGTAAGGCAGCTATGGCTCTTTGCTTATGTATGTTAATTTACATATGAGTAAATATACACACGTAAGTAAAAGTTAATTTGCTATGCGTTCAGACGAGATTTACGTACTGTAAGTAAATCCTTATATTTTCATATAAAATATGGAGATTCCCAAAATTCAGAATTGTGGATTTTTATATTAAAAAGATAATAATTTTCTTACTATTTGGGTATAAAACTAACTTTTGAATGTTCCTCAAAGAAAGAAGGGAGATCCGATCCATTTATTTTTTGGTACAAAAAAGCGAACTTAATTACTTTTAGCAAGAATTTACATACGAAAAAAAGGAAAATTATTAATTAAAATAATTGTTTAAAATTGGAAAATGCATGCTTTGGCCTCGGTCCTAAAGACTATAGAAAAGCCGTTGAGTGTTAAGAAAAAGATGACTGTTGCCATCTACTGAATCACATCTTCAGCAGAATAAAGTTCGACTGGAAATCTTATTGGTATTTGGAAATCTACTGTAACAGTACATCATAAAGTTTGCGAGGTCATTATGAAGTTTCTGCTTGAAAACATTGTATTATATGTATTTTATTGGAGAATGAAATGGGCAATCGATTTTTAAAAAATGTCAAATGTCAAACATAACAAATACATATATGAATTATGAATAGGAAATAAATACGAATCCCCTAGAAAATCACGGTCGGTCGAGAATGCTTAAAAATGTTTATTTTCAACAGGGTTGTTGAATTTCCTGTTACGAGCATCAATTTATGTCAGCAGCTTTGCCTTGGTTTAAAAACAAAGAAAGGTAGAAGAAAGTCAATCTGTAATCCTATCACAGCTCCGGAGCATTCCCATGAGGACTACTTGAATTATAGGGGGACTACTTATTGATCATGCAGGGCACATGTTTGCGTGAACACAGCTATATTTTTATAATTTAGAGGCATAAACATAGGTTTGCCAGAAAGGGTCCAAGATGCGCACGTTTTTTGCAAATTCAAAATATCAAAAGACACTGGAGATATAGTGTGAATCCTTGTTTTCCGAGTTAAAAAAGCCATTTGTGGGAATTAGTACTATGCTAGAACAACCCGGCGTATCCTTTAAAGACTTTATAGCCCCTCATTAAAACTCAAATTACTTTCAGCTGTCTTTGAAGTGCAGCAAATTAAAGATGACCATAAAAAAAAAATCCTTTTTTTTAGTTTTGCTTTCTAGCATTCTGTTAACAGACTGATAAAATACGCACAACAATGCAGAAACAACTGAAACAACACTTAAAATGACGTTTTGTGCAATGAACAAAACAAAATACATATATAAGTAAATTTGCTGCGCGTTCATACGACAAAATTTACACACATAAACTAATAAATTGCAACAACATGTATGCAAAAGTTAATTTGCACCTAGTCCTGACCAGGTGTAAATTTACTCAACTGTGCAGAATTTACATATCAGTAAATCAGTTCATACGACCAAAATTGCACATGTGAGTAAATTTACATATGAGTAAAATACATGTATACTGAGATATGCAAATCATGTCGTATGAATGGGGTATTAGTCTACATCTACATCTACATATTACAGCGTTCCACCAACCCTGATGATTATACGCTGGCCCTGCGCAAACGGACCTCTAAATGAAATTATAAAACGTATGTGAAAAAAGAAAAAAAACTATAAGTGCCATAGGAGGTATGAATAAACATAGTGCAATGAAAAACAATTTACAAAATTGTGCATGAAAAATGTGTATTTACATTGTGTACTTCTGCTTGTTTTATAAATATGAGTCATGGGACATAGCTCGGGACCAGAGCTCTGAACTGGTCCAGTGAGGCCGCTGCCACCACTGAGTGGGGAAAGAAGCTAAATTGATATTAATCTGTTCGTGTACTGAAGGTCTGAAAGTGAAGAGGACTAATAGTACGTGTATATAATAGTTGTTGTCAGGGGTACTAAATAAAGGTTTGGATCTATAGCCACTAATTTGTGCGTAATTTTTAAAATTAACATTATAAGTCTACATAATTTTATTATATTTCTTCTATTATACATTTATTGACTGAGTTCGAGGGCAACATGCGTTTTGTCGGACTCAAGAACTAAACTGTCTGCCTGAAGCCGTTAGGTCGACAGTTTGGTTCGAGGGTCGACAAAACACATTTTGCACATTTTGTCAATAAATGTTTTGTTATACCTTTCATTTCATTTTATTTTTTTTTTAATTACATGTATTTTGTGCTGTATTCTGTGTTGTAACATCAGATCTGTAACTGTTTAACACCAACGAATGAAAATCAGATTAAGCTCCGCCCATTCTGTGACGTAAGCGGTTCAACATCTCATCAACCGGTCGAACATCTCACTCAGAGGTTAAACATCGAGTTTTTTATGCCCACTCAGCAAAACATTAAAAATGTTGGACTTTTTTCGTATAGATTTGTATAGGAACTAATTTGTAAAGGTATAACAATGTCTAATGTTGCCCAATTTAGGTGGTGTAACATATCTGAGACACTGCTAGTATTGTGGTATCTATGTGTGACATATCTTGCAGCTCGTCTTTGAACATTTTCTAGTTTATCTTTAAGTTTTTTTGTATGAGGTGCCCAAACCGAAGAACAGTATTCGAGGTTACATGTAGACCTGACCATTGCTTTAATTATATGCCAAAGATTTAAAATTTGTCTCTTCATTTTTTATCTTTTCAGAAAACCCAGTATCTTGTTGGCCTTAGAAGTTATATTATTAATATGTGGTTCCCAGGACATGTAGGATAATGATACCCCATAAATATTTTGCTGTCTTCGATTTTTTATTGATGTTAATTTTATTTTAAAATACATCACCAAATTGTAATGATTTAACTACGCTAAGAATTGGGGAGTGGATCCAATCTGACTTTCAATGAACATAGGGGAGAAAAAGCTTAATCTAGAAAAATAAAAAACTGATCATGAGGACCGCGGTTCACCCCCCCCCCCTCACTTCACGGATACTGTACTTGCCTGGTATGTCAGGACACGAAAAGGTCATCCTACATTTTGTATGGTTATTTAGTAATCGAACAACTACGTGTTTCGCGTATTATCAAAGGCATATACATGTATACATGACAAAAATTAAAATGTTATTCATGCAGCAAATTGGTCAAGTTGGGGGAGGGGTAGAGTAGAGGTTTTTTTTAGGAATTATATTGCGTAGTGGACCTTTCTTCACGTTTTTAAAGTCTTTTCACAAAGTCTCAATTCCAGTATCTATATTTAATTATATTTAGTAATTAAAGACACAATTCAAATACGATAAATTTCCAAAATCTCCACGCTTTTGGACTGTCTATACTTTGATCACGTGACATGGTTCATAAGGTCAGATTGAGATTGCCTTTTGTCAATATCGGTCACTACTGCCATTGCTTCTGCGATTGCATCTACTCAGCGCTTTCACTGCATTCTTCAAGACATCTTGCACAGAAGAAGATTTCTTCTGGATGAGGTAAGTTTATTGAAGTTGTTATATTCATCGATTTTTCACTCTATATGGCGTTATTGTGCAAAAAATTTCGTGGTGAATACTCGAACATTTTTGACGCCATTTTTGTCCTGCAGCAAAACGGAGAAATTTATTATTTAGGCCGGTGCATGCATTTTGAAATATTTGTTTGCATGCGTTTACGTGTATATTAGGTACCATTTGTCAAATTTTATTAAGTTTTAGCTTAAACTACTGAGATGTATAAGTAAATATTATATTGACATGTATATGGCTATATTCTGATATTGATAAAAATTAAGGACTTCCGGTGGTGAGTGCGCATGGACATTGAGATATTCACGCTCACAATTTCATATCTTTATTGACTCGGTTCGAGGGCAAAATGCATTTTGTCAGACTCAAAACTCAATTAAACTGCTTGCCGGAGGTTGTTATGCGAAGAGTAGACGATTTTGTTCCAGGGTAGACAAAAACCCATTTTGCCTGAGAACACTGTCAATAAATAATTTGTTAATGTTATACCTTTTATTTCAAAATTTTTTACGTACATGCATCTTGTACTGTCTTCTGCAATGTAAACCCCTGGGGTCTGTCACTTTTAAACATCAATAAATGCTGAATTAGATTAATTAAGTTCCTCCCATTGTGTGACATCTCATTGACAGGTCCAACATCTCATTGACAGGTCCAACATCTCACTCAGTAAACAGCAATTTTTATAATGCCCATCATTGTTTCCGTTAACGCATATTTCTGCGTATTTTACGCATAAAAATTACTTTTGACCCCCAAAAACGTCACCTAGAGGGTCATCATGACGCAGAAAAAATATAAAAACAAGTTTTAAAAATCCAGTTCAATATTGATTTTTTTTCATAGAAAAAGATATTTTATATGTATAATTTACATTCTGGACAACTTTCTAGGAATAAATCATTGCTTTTAGTTTAATTTAAAAGTGACAGTGATTGAAATCGGCATTTCCACGTCACCAATCTATGAAATATTCTTCTGTACGACTTATCTTATTCTTAACAAAACCGGAAGTGTAGATAAAAATGGCGCTTCAGCATTTTCAGCATGTTCAGTCTTACATCGGCATATTTTTACCAGCTTGGCTTTGTCTAAAAGGCTAATTATGGTAATAAAAAGGTGAGGAAAGTTCAAATCATTAATAAACAGTTTTGTAAAGCAGTCAACCACTTTCAGTTGTTATTTTTTGATTGAGGTATTCACGAAACCCTTATGGTGTAATCGGTATCAATGTAACTGTGTACCGGTCACAAAAAAAGAAGGATACATGTATCAATTATATATTATTGTCATTTGTTTTTAATTTTAAATATCAATAAAATGATCTTAGGAGGCAGAGCTAATGTTAAAATCGAAAG